GGGCCGTTGGGTTTTGATCCAGGTCCTCCCGAAGCTATCCTGTGTTTCTGTCTTTCTCCTCTTCGCTATCTACCTAAAAGTTTCTTATCCATCTCTCCTCCTCATAGGAACCCTTTTAAAAGGTAAAAGCTGGCCTCCAACACTTGACTCAGGCTGGTCCTTCAGATGTCTGTAGCAATCCCCTTTGCCTTCTGAATGTGCTTATTCCAGCGGCACTTTCTCAGTCTGGCTGGCTCCAATTGCCATTTTTCAATGAAAACAACTCCCTGATTCCATATCCTTCTGTTTTACATTTTTTTCCCTTCCTGGTAACACCCATGACCTTCAAATATACTACAGAATGTAGCTATTTATTTGGTTATTTATGGAATCTCTCCTACAGGAATGTAAGTTTGATGATGGCCTGGGTATCTGCCTCTTTTATGTAGTTATTTCAGCAGCTTTTAGGGGTATGTCTGGCACATGGTAAATATTTGTCAAGACATGAAAGTTGTTTGCTTCCAGAACAAGAGTTTCAGATGCTGGATTCCATGGGAATAAGTTCCCATTTGCCTGAGAGTTACAGAGCTCTTTCAAAGCTTGATGTTCTAAAATTCCCTTCCTAGTTTGTCTCTCAAAAAATTGTGATTGTTTTCTCAATGGCTGTCTTAGAGTTTCTATTGCTGTGAAGAGACACCATGATCACAGCAACTCTTATAAAGAAACCATTTAATTGGGTGTCTTATAGTTCAGAGGTTCAGTCCAGTATCATCATGGTGGGACATGGTGGCATGCAGGCAGACATGGTGCTGGAGAGGCAACTGAGAGGGCTACATCTTGCAGGCAACAGGAAGTGGTCTGCATGTCACACTGAGAGAAGCTTGAGCAAAAGAGACCTCAAAGCCCGCCCCCACAGTGACACACTTCCTACAAGGCCACATCTACTCCAACAAGGCCACACCTCCTAATAGTGCCACTCCCTTGAGGGGCCATTTTCTTTCAAACCACCAAAGTGGCCAAGCACTAGTTTCAAAAGATCCTGGGTTGTTAAACTTGGGTAGAATGAAAAATCCCTAGGAGGATAATTGACTAGTTTTTAATTTTTTAGATTACCTTAATGATTTTGTGAGTGTTTTGGATGCATGGAAAAATGTGCACCACATACATTCCTGGAGCCCTTGGAAGTCAGTTCCAGAGTTATGGATTTATGGTTGTAAGCCAGCATATGAGAGATGGGAACTGAACCTGGGTCCTTCCCATGAATGAAAAGAGCTCTTTGCTGCTGAGCCAGCACTCCAGCCCCATGATTACAGTTTTAAAAGCTATCAAGTATTGCAATTCTTAACATTTCTCATCAATATGTTGCTCTTCCTGATTTGAAATATATGAATGCAATTGAAAGGTAGGAGCCAGCTTGATAATGCATAAATAATACTATCATCCCTTTTTCTAGGGTATCGACAAATTATTTTTTATATTGATTTTTCTTTTGAAACATATAACATGAGTTGGATATCTTAGTGTATCTAAAGTAAGAACTCTGTATATTCACCTAAGTTTTTGAAAGCAAACATATTAAACTTATTCTGTACAACTTTATCTTTTAGGGATTCCTATTTGAAAGGAGCATAGACTTTTAGGCAGCAAGATTTTAGCTTAATTGATTAAAATATCTCATTCTATAGATATAAAAAATGACGCTCCATGATGTTAAGAGACTTGCCCAGAAGCACATAGTCTAAAAAGTAAAATAAGGCTGGGCGGTGGTAGCACATGCCTTTAATCTTAGCACTCTGGAGGCAGAGCCAGGTGAATCTCTGTAAGTTCGAGGCCAGCCTGGTCTACAGAGCAAGATCAGGATAGGCACCAAAACTACACAGAGAAACCCTGTCTCGAAAAACCAAAAATAAATAAATATATTTATTATATATATATAATAAGGTGCCACCGAGACTGTAATACAAAACTAGTTCTCCATGTTGGAAAAGTAATTGAGTATAGCAACCAAGGAGTATGTAATTCTAAGTGGTATGCAGTCCTGCCCAGAGAAGTTCTGTATTTCTATAGTGAGGCTTTCATAATCATCCTAACAAATAAAAACCAAGAATTACAAGAGCAAGATTTTGCAGGTCACTTGAAGTGAACCACCCCACGTGGAGAAGTGGCTTCCTCACAGAGATGGCTCCTCTCAGCCATGGCTTCTGCTGTCCATTTTAGAATGAAGACCTCTTTGGTCATTTAACGTAAACATCATAAAGAAGCAAATGGGCCTTAGACACGCATACTTAGTCTTTGCACGAGTGAATCTGTTTGAAGACTATCATGCCAGAGCAATGTGAAAGTTGACTCTAGCAAGCTTCATTTTCCTTTAATGACACCAAGAGACAGCCATGGCTTTTAATCTCAGTGCTAGGGAGGAAGAGACAGGAGGATCTCCGTGAGTTCGAGGCCAGCCTGGTCTACAGAGAGCGTTCCAGATTCCTAGACAGTCAGGGGGCTGTTACACAGAGAAACCCTGTCTCAAAAAACCAAATGGGGGAAAAAAGAGGGGAGGTGTTTTGCTTTTTTTTTTCAGGGGTGGTGTGACTTCACTTGGCCTCCTGCTGTATTTCCCCACCTACTTTGGAAATCATTTCTTTTTCTCAGAGCTGGTGGCCTCCAAAGCTTTCACTTCAGCAAGAGCTTCGTCGTCATCGTCGTCGTCGTCGTCGTCGTCGTCGTTTTAGCTTTGTTATTATCTAAACTGAGGGCAGAGCCTCTACAAAGTATGTTTGAAGGGAAGGTTTTTGTTGTAGATATGAGGTAGAGTAAAGCAAGAGACATCTGGAAGAGTCCAGAGCAGGGAGAAAGCAGCAGACTGAACATGGCCAGCAGACTCACCTGGTCATGAGAGGAGAGATGTGAAGAGCAAGAGAGGAACACAAAGAGTGTGCTTGCAGAGGAGGCCAAGAGAGAGAGAGGCAAGAGAGAGGGGACCAGGAGAGCACACAGCTGAAATTGGGTTATAAAGGAGTGAAAGCTGGGGAGGGAAGTCCATGAGCTGGAGAAGTTTAGGGTAAGGGGCTGGATGAGAAGAGCTGAGGAGAGCCACAGGTACCTATGAGACTGAGGGAGCCCGGGGGCCAACATGACCTCTGGTAACCTGATAGGCACCACAGATCTATCCCAAATTTCTTTTGACAGAATTTACTTACAAGTCAAATCTGGTCTTTATCTTTGGAGGGGAAATGCCTGGGCAATGACATGAATGGAGAAAATTTTTAATGAAAATGACCCACCTACAGTTTTATTTCTTTGGATAATCTGTCTCCTGTTCTCACAGCAGCTTTTTGTTTTCTTTTGTTTTTAAAAGATAATTCTGAGCCGGGCGGAGGCGGTGGTGGCGCACGCCTTTAATCCCAGCACTGGGGAGGCAGAGCCAGGTGGATCTCTGTGAGTTCGAGGCCAGTCTGGTCTACAGAGCGAGATCCAGGACAGGCACCCAAACTACACAGAGAAACCCTGTCTCGAAAACAAACAAGCAAAAAGATAGTTCTGATGTAGCTCAGGTTGGTCTTAAAAATCACTATGTAATCAAGGCTGACCTTGACTTCTCCAATTCTATGCCTGGCCCTATCTCTTATTTTCTTGGTCATGTACTAAAAGTCTTTTCACCTATTGTATACAGCCTAATCTTATTTTTTAAAAGAAGTAATGACAATATTGGCTACTTTCCCATATACTGTACACTCTGCCTAGGACGAGTAAGCCTGGATTTATACTCCATGCTGAGTTTCCATATACTAAATATACTACTCTTGGAAGTGTATTTGATGAATATCGAAGTGTCTGGCAATTAGACAGGACTAAACACAAGACGACACCAATCCAGAGAGGAGCTAATCAAACGAAAGGCTGTTTTGAAGACGCTAAGCAAATAGGATTATTTCAGAACACATACATCCATAAGCAAGACATTAACGGAAGCAGTAGTGCTTGAAAAGACCTGCAAAAGTGAAGACTTGGACACTTATTGATAATGTTTTCTTCCTTAAACAGCTGAAAAAATGTTAAAAATATAAACATGTCACATGCACTGTGACATCTGACATCACTGTATTAAAGAACTACGTCTGCAACCATTGTACACCGAGAGGAGGTCATACATACAATTCAATACAGGTGATGCAGGACTGCAAAATGAGCAACAGGCCAAAATCCTTAGGAAAAATCACCACGGCTTGTTTATAAAGCCTCCCCAATAGTGGAAGTTATCAACAACAAAAGCATGCTCTTTAAGTAATTGAACTTAGTAGAAACGAACGGGGTGGGCTTTGTAGATGAGTTTGTCAGAGGCTTTTGATTGTGAGCAAGGGCCGGTAGTGGGTAGCTGGGGTGGAATGGAACCGGTGTTTCAAGGTCCCAGAACCCGCCGAGTCCATCGAAACAATCAGGGTAAGATTCTGATCACCCCGACCCCTGAAGAGAAGCAAGGACAAACTTCCAGAGCAGGTCACCGACTCCTTAAAAAAAAAAAAAATCATAGATGCTGGGTGGTGGTGGCTCACGCCTTTAATCCCAGCACTCGGGAGGCAGAGGCAGGAGGATCTCTGGGAGTTCAAGGCCAGCCTGGTCTACAGAGCGAGATCCGGGACAGGCTCCAAAGCTACACAGAGAAACCCTGTCTCGAAAATGCAAACAAACAAAAAAACATAGCTCCACAGGCTCACTCCTGCGGGCTGCAGCGTCTGCCTAGGGCACACCCGGTTCCTCACCCCGAGCCCTCACAAGCCACACAGCAGGTCCAGCTCTGAGGCCCGGACGCGAACCTGCGAGCCGCTCCACCCGCCTGGGCCGGAGCGCGACGCCCCGCCCCCGGAGTGTGGCGGAAGTAGCCGGAGCGGCACGGCGGCCGCGTGCGCATGCGCCCGCGCTCCCCGCCCGCCCGGTTCCCTCAGTCCCCGCCACCCCCGCCCCTCACAGTGGCGCTCTCGCCATCTTGCGCCCCCACCCCCACCCCTTCAGCCTAGCCCAGTCACCTTTCTTTCCCTGTCTACACTCTCTGTCCCCCCCCTTCCCCATTCCCCGCCCCCCTGCCCATCGTGTCCCGGGGCCGCCGCCGCCGCCGCAGACAGCGCGCGCCATCTCTGTCCCCTCTCATTCTCCACGCGGGACGCGCAGACGTGCCTCCACGTGTCCTTAAGCAGAGGTTGTGGGGCGCGTGGGGGCGGCGGGGCGTGGGGCGAGGTCCTGGGGACGCCAGGGACGTGGCAGCCCAAGGTCAGGCCCGGGGCCGCGGGCCCAGCCGGGTGCAGGCCGCCGAGTGTGGGGTGCGCCCTGGCTCCTCCCCGTCGTCGGTGGGCGTGGGGCGAGGGGAGCCTCGGGCTGGGCGGAGAGGCACCTTTTGCGTGTCACCCAGGTTGCGTTGGGGAGGAAGCCGGGGGGGGGGGGGGGGGTCCTTCAAAAAGGAAAGCTCGACTTCATGGAAGTTAGTTAGCATGAGTGGAAGCGCAGCGCGCAGCGAGAGGGACCGGGGACCCAGCGATGCTGCTGTCACCGCCCGCCTCTGGGACCCCTGGGAAATCATTTAGCTGGTGTTGTGGGGTGTAGATGGGGATCATCACAGCCTGGGTCAAAACTCAGGGTTGCGGGAGAATACTTGGCTGCTTAAAGCTTACATCAACGCCAGCAGAGATTAATTACCTATGAGCTCCATGTTAAAGAAAATTGTCATCCTGCCTTCTCTTTGGAAAGTCAGGACAGTTGGTGTGACAAATGATAGTGGAGTTATAGGGATAGTGGAATATATCTGACATGCAGACAGGACCCCGGAAGCAGTATTGTTGTTGTACACCCGGATAAATTAGCATCATGTCCCTGTAGTTAGTAGAAACTCACCAAGAAACGAGTACATGTTTATCTGGTTTTAGAAGTAACCTTTGAGCAAGTATTTGTGAAGAGCAGATCACGGCTAAAAGATTTACGTGAAGAAACAACTGGTTGAATTTCTGCGTGTTCCAGAGAGGCGGAATTTGACTACTAAGGGACAGTTTCTTGATAATACTTGGCAAAACCGGAACGTAATTAATCATGCTATTACGAGTCGTGCCTCCCAATCCCCCCCACCCCCCAGGGTGTTTAAGTACATTGTGTCTATCTTGAAAGCTGTGCTACCCAATAGAACTTTCTGCCAAGCTGGAAATACCACTGTAGGCTACCAGTATGGTAGGGAGCCATCAGGTTTATGTGGCTCTTGAGCACTGGAAATGTGGCAGGTGCCACTGATGAGCTTAATTTTTAATCGGTTAGCAAATTAATTACAATTTAAGTAGCCATCTACATGCATGGTGATTGTTGCATAGGATCCAACAGGTCTGAAAAACTGAGCGCTGTTACAGTTTTTGATTTGGTTGACTTTTGAATCAGAGAGGCCAGCTCTTGGAATATTTACGTTGTAAGGAATCATAATTATATCCAAAATAATGCCTTTCATTCAAAGCGTGAGTCTGTTAGTATTTATTTACAACTTGGCAAATTAAACCAAAACACTCTTTTGACTCCTTGGTTCTAAAGCTAATGCCAGATTTCATTGGGAAGAGAACAACACTAACTAGAGTTTTCTTTAACCAGCTCTGGCTTTCCACTGTCTTGTATCACTTGGTTTGTTCTTAGTGAACACTTTCAACTCTTTATTGCTGTGGGTTTTTTCTTCCCCATTTGAAAGGTGGTGCTTCCCTTTTAACCTTTAATATAATAAAGTAGTTTAATAAATTATAGTAGTAACCTTTGAGCAATTTTAGAAGTCATTTTAGTATCCATATATATATTCAAACTTCTGAAGAGAAAAGTGAAATTTGGTGATGAATATGTCATGCGATTACTTTCTTTGAAATATGCCCAACTGTTTTTTGACTGAGTGTTTGTAAATCTTGAAAATAAAATTCCCCCTCTCTCCCTCCCTTCTCCCCCTCCCTCTCTTCTTGCTTTCTTTTTGTGCTGGGATTGAACTCTGGACCTCCCACTTACTAAGTGGATGCTCTGCCGCTAGGCTGTGCACCCAGTCCTTGAAAATAAACCCTAAGAACGAAACCAAAACAGAACTTTCACGGTAGATACTGCCCTGAACTCCGGCCTGATATTTGTAAAATGTTGCCCTTGGCCTCAAGGCTGAAGATAATCGTTGGTTCTGGAATGACAGCTTAAAGCTTGCGAGTTACATCATAGGCAGAGACTAGTTCGTGACATGCAAATCAGACTGAGCTGGTCTTAAGTAGACAGACATCTTAACTTTTCTGGGACAGTCATGTCCCAGCACACTTTCTACCAGAGCCCCTTTGATACTGTCAGAAATGTTCCAGTTTGGACTGTGCTAGCATGGTCACACTTTTTAAACCTGTCAGAATTCTTAACATAATCTTGGAATGATTAGCTATTTTGCAGTCTCCAGAATACACTTGCTGAAAACAGTGACAAAGTCCATGCTGTTTCACTGGAATAAGGCCAGAGAGTGACTTGGTCACTTTAGCCACTGGCAATCTGAATGTTTTACTTTGTATAGAAATCTTGGGTAATGGGATTATTGGTTCTCTTTGGGGAAGAAGAAAAAAGTCTTTTGGTGTAAGGGGCTACAAATATGCCGGTCCAGTAAAATAGGAAGATTGAGCATTCCTGCTGAAAATGTTAGTTTTTGGTGAGGTCAGAGAGTAAATCAATCAGAAATCTGCTTTTCATGTATCAGAATGCCAATGATTTTGCTTATAGTTCACTTACATTATGAGAAAGATTGTAGCCATTGCATTATTGTGTTAACTGAATTCATGTTAACCGAAGGGGGTGAACTGTTCTGTTTGTCATTTTAAATGTCGAAGGCAATGCCACTGAGCCCAGTGTGTCTTATATGGTCCCACTAGCTTAGCCTTGAAAAGACTGTCACAGTCATAAGCTTCCCTCTTTGAGTTTGCTTGATGTTCAAAGCCCTGAAATGTTTTTAAAGAGCTGTGCCCTTGCTTATGTTCATTATCGTGTATCCCGTGAGCTAAGGAGTACTTTGTAAGCATCAGGCCTTGCTCAGTCACTGCCGCCTGAACCCTAGGAGAGAAGTATTTTAAGTTTCCATGGTAGAGGAACTGAGAAAGAGAGGTGGCATGAGTTGCCCAAGGTCACGTGATAAGACTCAGAGCCTGTGTCTGAACTCCAGAGCCTGGCTTGTCTGCTACACTGGGTGGGCATAGGCAGATAGTTGACACCAAAGTTGACTGTGTTGGACACCTGTGGAGGTCTGGTGAGTTAATTAGGATCCACTTTTATTTGAGTTTCCTCGTTGTATAGTAGAAAGGATTCTGGACCAGGAGTCAGGGGACCTCAGTGTTAGTCCCAGCTTGTGTCACTAAATAGTGAGTGGTGTGTCCTTGGGCAGTTCAAGAAACCCCTCTGGGCTGTAGTTTCCTCACCTGAAAAATGAGGGATTTGGGTGAAATTAGTGATTTTCCAACTGTGGTTTGAAGCCTGCTCACATCTTCAGTCTCCTCCCACTGATTCCCGTTGCTTAGGCCTCTGTCTGCGGTTTTTTCTTAAACAAAGACTGTCTGAACATGACATTAAATGTATTAGTTTCTGAGATAGCATAGTGGTAATGGCAGCCCCTGACTGCAAAATGAACTTTAATAATTTCATATTATTTTAGAGCATCTGGAGATAGGCATCTGTGGTAATATTGTGTTCCCCAATATGTCGTGCACCTTAATAAACTTATGTGGGGTCAGAGGACAGAACAGCCGCTAGACAGACATAGAGGCCAGAAAATGGTGGCACTCACACCTTTAATCCTAGCATTCAGGAGGCAGAGATCCATCTGGATCTCCGTGAGTTCAAAGCCACACTGGAAATAGCCAGGCGTGGTGACACACGCCTTTAATCCCAGGAAGTGATGGCTGGAAGCAGAAAGGTATTTAAGGTGTGAGGACCAGGAACTAGAGCCTGGCTAAGCTTTTTGATCTTTTAGCAGCAGTTCAGCTGAGATCCATTCGCGTGAGGACTCAGAGGCTTCCAGTCTGAGGAAACAAGATCAGCTGAGAAATTGGCAAGGTGAGGTTGGATGTGGCTTGTTCTGCTTCTCTGCTCTTTCAGCATTCACCCCAATACCTGTCTCTGGTTATTTCATTTATAAGACCATTTAGCAAGTCGTGTTATAGGCATCCTTTACAAATGAAAAATCTAGGCACTAAAATTGATGATTTTTTGTTAAGATATATGCATACATAGATCAGGTTGTCAGCTACTTGGGATCAAAGCGCCCCCCCTTTTCTTTTTAAAAAAGATTTGTTTTAATTATGTATATGCACACACATCTGTGTGGGAACCAGCAGAGGTCAGAGGTTTTGGGTTCTCCCAGGACTAGAGTTACAGGAACTTGTGAACCTTTGATGTGGGCTCTGGGAACCAAACTTGGATCCTCTGGAAGACTAGTAGTGTGTTCTTTTAACTACTGAGCCATCTCTCTAGCCTAAAGCCTTGCATTAAAAAAAATATAAATAAAATTAGACCTGAGACATTTAGTCAGTATTTTTAGTTTCCTCATCAGTAGTGGAAAAATACTGGCCTGGTAAGGTGATCATGGAAAAAACAAAAACCAAAACAACCAAAAAATCCGATAAAAGACCTTTTGTAAGGCCCAAGTCCATTAATTCTTTATATATATGTACTAAATTATTAGCCACACAGCCTGTGCTTTAACTACATCATTAAATTACGATTGTTGAATCATGAATCATGTATGTTTAATACTAGATGACAATAGATTTCTCATAAGATTGACTATTTTTTTGAGACAGGGTTTCTCCGTGTATTTTTGGTGCCTTTCCTGGAACTCTGTAGCCCAGGCTGGCCTCAAACTCACAGAGATCCACCTGGCCCTGCCTCCCAAGTGCTGGGATTAGAGGCGTGTGCCACCACCACCTAGCTAAGGTTGACTATTTATAACACATGATTCTAGGCTAGAAGAGAATTGTAATGTTTAAAAATATCCACTCATTTAAAAAATATCCTTGTTTTGTGCTATACCACTTAATATTAGGATTGTTAAGTGATGGCCTGATTTTCCACATACTTGAAAAAAAAAACCCATAAAGTCACTGAATTTTATGTAAAAACAATAATGTTTTAGTGTTGCAAAAGTGAGTTTGCTATGGAATTTACCAGTATGGATGCTGTGTGTTTTAGGCTGAGTGTTGTTAGGTACATTCTTCAGTGCATTTTAGGTATACTTTTATTAAAGAATAATTTTTAAGAACAAATTTTTAAAAGGACAGTAATGGGTATTAAAGCACATGGAATAGGAATTTAGGCTAATATGAAACTAAGGGGAAAAACAGCAGAGAGCTCTGATGTCTGTAAAGTTAGCTAACAAGGATAAGAAAATGTCTTGATAGTGTGCGTGCGCGTATGTATTGCTGGGAATTGAGCCTAGTGACTCATGCATTTAAGGCAAGTGCTGTGTCACTGAGTGATAGACCTGTCCCATTTTATAAACATTTTTTATTTTCAATTCAGATATATCTTTGAGTCCACATTGCATTTTGGATTTTATTTTGGTTTGGTTTTGGTTTTTGGAGACAGGTTTTTGCTGTGTAACAGCCCTAGCTGTCCTGAAACTCACTTTGTAGACCAGGCTGGCCTTGAACTCACAGAGATCCGCCTACCTCTGCCTCGTGAATGCTGGGATTAAAGGTGTGCACCACTACGCCCGGCTGCATTGTGTTCTTTATAATACCTTTATGAGACAGATAGAAATTATTCCTGAAAGATGGGGGAAGTGAACCTGAGACATCAGTAGATTCTTATATTATAGGTTCTGGTATTTGGTTAGTTAGTTGTTTAAGTAAAAGGCCCATGTCCAACCAGGTGTGATGACACATTCCTTTAATCTCTGTACTCAAGAGGCTGAGGTAGGAGTTTGAGGCTAGGCTGAGCTATGTAGGAATTTCAAGGCCACCTTGTGGTGTGAAACAGGACATCGTACTAAATCAAGGCAAGCCAAACCAAATCAAACCAGCCACACTCTCCTTGCATGACATTCCCCTTGTAAGACATCAGTTTGTCAGCCTTGTAACGTTTCCTTCCTTTAACAGCCTTTCACAAAGCTTTGTAGGATCCCCTCCACTCGAGTGTCTAATAGTTGTCCCAATACGGTCTTACTGAACTCCAGTGGTTTTTGTTTGTTTGTTTGTTTTCTCGTTTCCAGACTTCCTCTTTTTAGCAAATGGTAGCATAATTTAGTTAGTTTCTAAGGTTTCAAGCCTCAGTCATCTTGTTCTTACATACCCAGTGTCTACTCCACGTTAACTCTGCATTCAAAATATGTTCTTGTCTCCACTTGTTACAGAAGTCAAAGCCACTGATACCTTGTCCATTCAACTTCAGTAGTTCTGCTTTCCTGGGTCGTACCCTTGTTATAAAATATCCTCACTGCAGCTATCCTTAAAAAAATCCTATGTTCAAAGTTCTCCAATAGCTTAATATTATCGTCCAGTAAAAATTAACCTCCTATGGCCTTCAAGGCCTTTTCATGTACTTCCTCCTCATGACTCTTGGATCTCACTCTTAGTGCTGATCTCCACTCACTCCACTACACCCACAGTGGTCTTAGGATCTTGTTCCTGCATACAGGTTCTTGAGCACCGCCTCCTGCATTTTGTTCAGACACATGTTGTCACCTTGTAGTTGAAATCTATTTGTTTACTTTGTTTGTATAGCACTACTTCAAATGGTTTTTGTCTGAGTGTGACTCCTTACCCTATAATGATTTTTGTTTGTTCGTTTGTTTAGTCACTATTATATCCTGAGGCCATAAAAGAACATTTGGCTTTTAGTCAGTGTCCAATAATTATGAATGAATAATCCAAGTGCAGATAGTTTGGGCTTTAAAAAAGACATTGTCAGTATCTTTATAGTAAGGAGAGGGAATCGAAGGCATGTTACTTTTTATAGGGGAGAGTGAAAGGAAATAAATCAATGGTGAGTTTACATTTCTATGTCATTTAAGAGATGCTGTTATTTGCCAGTGGTTGGAGGAGGGATTCAGTATTGGACAGAAGTTTAGAGTGAAAATAATGCACATTTACTAAGATAGTATTAACCAATTGTGATGGTTAATCTTCTCTGTCAATGGGACTGGATTTAGAATTATCTAGAAGACATATTTATGGGTATGCTTCTGAGGATGTTTCCTAAGAACTTTAACTGAGGAGGGAAGACCACCTGAATGTGGGTAACACATCCTATAGGATAGGGCCCCAAACTTTTATTGTTTTTTTTTTTGTTTTTTGTTTTTTGAGACAGGGTTTCTCTGTGTAGTTTTGGTGCCTGTCCTGGATCTCACTCTGTAGACCAGGCTGGCCTCGAACTCACAGAGATTCACCTGCCTCTGCCTCCCAAGTGCTGAGATTAAAGGCGTACGCCACCACTGCTCGAAGGGTCTCAAACTTAATACAAAGCAAAAAGGAAGAAAACATGGACATCAGCATCCATCTGTATCTGCTTCCTGATAGATCAGTGTGACCAGCTACTGCTATGACCTCACCATCATGACTGACTGTGTCCCCTCTAACTGTGACCTCTCTAACTGTGACCTCATCATTGTGACTGACTGTGTCCCCTCTAACTGTGACCTCACCATTGTGACTGACTGTGTCCCCTCTAACTGTGACCTCACCATTGTGACTGACTGTGTCCCCTCTAATTGTGACTGACTATGTCCCCTCTAACTGTGACCTCACCATTGTGACTGACTGTGTCCCCTCTAATTGTGACTGACTATGTCCCCTCTAACTGTGACCTCACCATTGTGACTGACTGTGTCCCCTCTAACTGTGAACCACAATAGTTCTTTCCTTAAGTTTCTTTTGTCCGGCATTTTGCCATAGCATTGAGAAAGAAAGAAAATTGGTACTTGAAAAGTGAGGCTTTCTGCTGTGACTACCTGACCATGTGGCTTGCAGGCCTTTGGAACTGTTTGTGAAAGGAATTTGGAAGAGTTTGCCTATAGAAACCCTAGAGTGCTATAAGCCATAGATACCCAACTTTTTGATGTCGTGATATAATGCCATCATCAAAACCCAGCTGGGCTGCATTCATAGCTTTGCTGGGGTACATGCAGTTTGCAGGCAGAAGGTTGGATGTGGGGGCTGTAAGCAGAACTTAACGGGTGAGGTATGGAAGGCCAGAATGCTGAAATGAAAGAAACTAATTCTGGCTCCTGAAATTTCCAGTGGGAAAGAGGACTCCATCAGGACTTGGCTTAGAGGCCGGCCTGTGCTATATTCTGGCAAAGAAGCTGCCAGAAATTGGGAATTCTACATGCTATAGACATTTTATAGATACTTTACACCTTTTGAGTTTTTGTATTTGTAGTGATTGATCATTTGGTATTTTTCATATCAGTAGAAATTTAGATTCTGTTGTAACTTGATTTTTTTTAACAAACAAAAATGGAGGGTGTAATGATGTTGACTTACGTATGATTTTTTTTTCTACTTTTGGGGTTTTACAAAGCTGTTTTAATTGTAAAGACTTATTTATATTGTGGGAGATGTCTAGGTTATGAAATATTAGGATGTTAGAGTAAGTCCATGGGTCTGACAATGTTCCTCGCCAGTGATGGAGTAGAAGAACTGGTCATTTCCATTAGGTCTCGTAATTGCTGCTTGGCTGATAGACTTATAGCCCAGATTTTGGTATTACTTCTAGGTTACAGTCTCAATTCCTTGAGGTGTGTGATGAAAGATGTTTTTCATGGGATGCCTTCTTTGGTCATGTTATCAACAAAAGTGTTTTTTAATGGATACCCAGTAACACATCCACTGCATTTTTGATTTACTTTTTTGATTCTGTCTTTACACATTACTATAATTAGAACTTTTTGTGTTTGGCAGTAATACTTTCAAATGAAAGCAATTTTGCTTGCATACATACATACATACATACATATGTATGTCTAGGTGAAATAAACAAATTTTTATTTTCTAGAATGGAAATTTGGTTTAGTGATCAGGTTAACACAGTATTAATCAGAAATGAACTTATCCCTGGGGTTCACATGTAAGCTGGCATGCTGAAATGATCTGAGTCTCAGTCTGCACATCTGAATTCATTTTGTAAAATATGGCGAGCAGCTGCATCCCCGTGGAAAGCTCAAACAACTGCAGGACATTAACCCATTGAGAAGATTACAGTAGGTTTCAGACCCATGTTAACCGTATTTATTAGTGAAAATTGACTTGAGTGCTTCTGCTTTTAACAGACTTTTTTATGTCTAGAAGAAAGGAAATAAAGCATTGGAATGATAGGACTTTGATGTGCAAAGAAGTTAATGTCCAAAGAAATGATTATCTAAATCATCAAACCAAATGGGGTTACAGGAAAGAATTATTCTGGAGTCTAATGAGCTATCAGCCCATCATGTCAAGAAAAATGTTATTCACCTGTTTGATTTAGAAATTAAGTAACTTGTCTGTGAAAGGCTGATTGTGGTTATAATAAATTTGGATTGGAACCCTTTGCCTCTTACCAATAAATACCCTTGATAGGAACCATTTCTAGTGGGGAGACAACTGGAAGAGAGAGAGAGCTGGGCATCAAAGCTAGGGCCTGGCCCTTACTATACATTTGCTCTATGAAATATGTTCTCTTTAGAGAGTTAAAGCAGGGTGGCTGGGTTTGAAACGGAAGGAAGGGACAGATTGTTTCAGTGGTGTCACCCCACACCCCACACAGTGGTGTGCGTCTATCAGATCTGAAATGAGTCAACTTACATCCTGATTTTGGGGTTAATACAGAGTCCTTGAGGTTACTGTTTCTCCAGGCCTTGTGTTGGAACTACTGGAGTACACTGGGGGTGGGGGTCCTTGAAAAAGGGAGGCTGTATTCTCTTTTTGCTGGTCTGTTTGTAGAAATCTGTAGTTCTTGTTTCCCTAGTCATAGACTGGTGGCGTGATTATTTTTTTTAACCCAAGTTTCAAGCTGGAGTTTGACAGCATGTGCCTGGAATCCCAGCACATGGGAGGTGGAGGCAGGGAGGCTACATAACAAGTTCATTGCCAGCTTAGAATCCATGAGGCTGTCTCAAAACCAAATAGAGCAAGGGAGTGTGGGTAGTTTCTTTCCTTACTTTGTAGAAAAATAGTAATCATTTCAAAAGTTTTTGTGAAAAACAGAACAAATTTAGGCTTAAAGGAAAGTGATAGCTTTTCTTAGCATTAGAATTTTTTTTTTCTTTTAAAACATGTTTGGGCGTTAGGTTCAGTTTGAGTGAAACTTTGTCCTTCAGAGTGCTCATGTTCTGTGCCCTAGTTAGTTCTAGCCTGCTCAGCATAGGCCAAAGGCATATTGGGGTGTTTTAGACATACTCACATACAAGTATGTCTGCATACTTATTATGATACAGTTAAGATGCTGTTTGCCCTAGATCTTTGTGTCACGTTTCAAAAACTGTCCATCTTGGGCAGTTGAGTACAGTAGCTTTTTCTCTAGCTTATTTTCATACCCTGTCCTTGAGGAGTGCCCCTGGTCTAGATTCCCTTGGTGACGTTTATCATTTTCCACACATTTGGTCAGATTAAAAAGACATATGGAAATGAATTTGACAGGCACATAGAGAGTGAGCTGAGTGTGAAAGAGGTAAGAGTTTATAGATTGTGTAGTGCAGAGCAAGCAGGGAAGAAGAGGATCCTGTCTTCTTACACATCGTGGAATATAGGGAGAGTGAAAGGTAAGATGGAGTGTTTTGAAGTAAAAGTATTCTAAATTGATATAAAAGCTTGTGTCAGATCAAGATGGGGCATTTTAAATATCTTTATTTTAATAGCTAACATTTATTGTATACTTACTGTATCAAGATTGTTCCAAATTATTTTCTTTATGAGTTCATCTAATTGTCACAGTCTTTAAAAAGTAGGGCTATTATTCACATTTTATAGATGAGATAATGGAAGCAGAGAGAAGTAAAGTAACTTCTCTAAAGTCCTAACAAAGCAACCGAGCTGGGAGCTGAACCCAGTCAGTCAAACACTGAAATCAGAAGCCGCCAAACACTGAAATCAGATCTTTATGCAGGGTTTTAGCGTCATCTCATGCCTGCCACAGAATCAGGTGAAACAGGCTTTCTTCCATTACCGTGAGTCTGGTCATCAGCAAGAGGACCCCAGGAGATAGAGGACCTCAGGAGACAGCACCCTGTATAGACGGTGTGTGGTTCGCCAGAAACTGTCTGGGGGAAAACTAGTCAGTGACTATAGCTCAAGGAGATAATACACTCTACTTTGAGATGTGCAGAACGGGAAAGCATCTTCCATAGGCCACTGAGAGCCAATGCACAGGAGGTAATACACTCTACTTTGAGATGTGCAGAACGGGAAAGCATCTTCCATAGGCCACTGAGAGCCAATGCACAGGATTGGGCCGCATGTTTCCACTTGCGGGAAACATCCCCCAGGCTGAAATCTCCTGTCTCCTATTAATATATAGACTATGCTCAACTCAGCCTTCCCGGCAAGGTGCCCCTGTAGGCTGCCATCTTCAAGGTGGATGTTTCATCACAGTGGAGTCCTTTCCCTGCCTGGGCTTTGCCTTGTGCAGTGCTGTCAATGGGAAAGTGCTCTGTGCAGCACCAACTCTAGAGACTGCCTTACCACCTGAATCAGCCCTGGACCCCTCTCAGCTGCTTTATCCTGTGTTCTCAAGTTTGTGTTCTCTCATAGACTCTGCAACTTAGGGAAAGTTTATATAAACTGGGAGTAATATTTATCGTGTGTTTATTTTATGGTAGTTGGTACTTTACTTACTTCGATGACTTTTGTGTTCTTTTGACTAGTTCTTGTTTACTAATTATTATTTAATTTAGTGCCATGTACAATAAATAAAAAGGCATGCTTTAGGGATTGGCTAGTTTTTCATTATATATCAGCCTGATTTAATAGTGAAAATGTCACATTTTAAATTGAGTCAATTATTTGCTCATAAGATTATAAAATGTAATGCCCACTTCTGATCTGTTGATTGATTTTCAACTATAATTTAGGCTTTGGTTCAAATGAGAACTAGACTGTGCTGTTTTTTTTTTTTTTTCTCATTTTGTATATTGTAGTTAAAAGAACTTTTTTAAATGAACTCTTACCTTGTACTCCTAAAGTGTGTGTGTGTGTTCCTGTGCATGCACACGCATGTGTGTTCTATTCGTGTGTGCGGCATATGTGGAGGCCAGAGGTTGATATCAGGTTGTCTTTCTCAGTCACTTCTTCACATTATTGTATTTATTTATTATCAAAACAGTATTTCTATTTGAAAAATAGTCAAAACAAATGCTACATTCTGTCCCAGATGCTTAGGTGTTCAGTAATGATGAGGTGTGTTGTGTCATGCTTACTGTAGCAACAGATCTTTATCATTTTATAGTAATTCTGAATAGGTCAGTCCTTAAAACCATTCCTCAAAACCCAGAGCACCCTTTTCAGCTAAACCGGCTGGCCAAAGAACACCCAGGATCCCCTTGTTCTCTCTCCCCCAGGGCTGGGGTTATAAGGGTGTGTGTGCTGCTGTGCCAGCTTTCACTTGGGCTGGGGTCCAGGAGAGTGCTGCAGTGCCAGCTTTCCTGTGTGTGCTGGGATCTCAACTCAGGTCCGCATGCTTGTAAAGCAATCATGGTTCCACAGCCAACTCTCCTGCTCCCAAAGTGACTTGTTTTTATTGGTCTGTGTGAAACTGGGGGAACTTAGCTGTGTTAAGGGGCTATTGGACACTCCCTGAAGAATTGCTAATGAGACTTAGGGTGGTGTGCGACACTCTGGAGAACTACCAACCTATGCCAAAGCAGTTTAATCAGTATTTCTGTTCTGTTGCTTACTCTAGTGTAGGTGCTGAATGTGTACTAGACACATAGGCAATTATTTGATACCTGAACTGACTGAACAGCTTTCTCTCACTATACTGTTTTTCATTTGAATAAAGACATCAAGTAGAAGAAAGTTGGATTTATACAGAACTGAAATTATCTGCAATTTGAAGGTTTCTATACTTTTTGAAGTAATTTAGAATTGCCTCTATTTTGTAAGTATTATTCCTTTTCCTTTTTTTCTAGATGAATAATACTGCAGCTAGCCCGATGTCTACGGCCACTTCGAGTAGTGGAAGAAACACAGGGAAGGCTATAAGCTTTGCTGCAGAATTGCAGAGCATGATGTGAGTATGCCTTTACATGCTATTATTGTTGCTATTTTAAATTGATAATGTTGAAGAACATTGAAATAAAATGTATAAACCTTAGCTTAATGTACTTTGTATTTAAACAAATTAAAATAATCTCAAAACATTTAAAAAGCTACATGTAAGACAGTCAGAGTTGGATAAAAGTGCTGCAGTGGTGCACTGTATTTGAAAACTGAGTACCAGCTCACCTTTTTGTGGATAGTCAAAATGTTTTCAGAGAAGTTTGCAGTTTTTCTCAATTCTCCTAATTCAGTGAGCCTAATTCAAAGTAGTTTTTAACTTTGATAATATTCAAACCATTGCATTTCAGATTATTGTGAAAAACACAAAGTGTTAAAAAAAATCACATGAATCTTTGAGAAATTGCACATTTGTTGAAGAAGTCTTTCCAAAGGCTATTCTCACCTTGCAGTGAATGAGACAGTTTATCTTAATTGGGCGGAGTAGCAGATTAGGGAACCATGTAAGCACTCAGTTCTTTCCTAGTGGTTTAGGAGACAGGTATCTATAGGAAGAGGCAATGTAGGTTCTTTCCCAGTGATCCTTAGGCATTTTAAAAGACTATTTCTGTGCAAAGTTTAAATGCCTTCCTCATGTGTATATTGATAGCCTTTAGAGTGGGTTGACTCTACTGTGTGATAATAGTTCAAAGCACATTTTTGGTGAGTTTGATTGCATGTGATAGTCTCTCAGTAGACATACTTCAAAGAAAGTATTAACATTGAAAGCATTGATGTCATAGTATCTCAGACTTTCTGCTCTCAGCATCTCTTTATAGTCTTAATTATTGAGAATCTTTGAGAACTTTGGTTGTATGGGCCATCTATAAATATTGAGTTCTTGGAATTTAAAACTGAGAAATAAAAATGTATGCTTTTATTTGAAAAATAATAAATTTATGTGTGAATCTATTTCTTATAAAAATTTGTTCTAAAGTCAAAAATTGATAACACTTGTGATTGCTAAGATGGGGATAAACACTACTTTAGAAGCTGACTTTCTTGAGCCTGCCTGTATCTTAAATTGTGGGGCACTTTAAGAGTTTATAGATTTGTATACTCGGTGGTTTTTCATTATAGTTTAACAGGCTTTTTGTTAACAAACTTTGATGTTATGTTACAGTAATTGTATTTAAAATTTTAAGTATGCACTTTATGATAAGACGATAAATTTCATTTTTTCCCCCTGTGGCACTAAATTGATTTACTCGTATTTTTTAACTGTGAATTTGGACATCTTCAGATTCTTTACATTATAATATAATGAACCCCATGTATCCTTTATTTGAATTTAGTAGTAATTCACAGTCTTATTTGACTTTCTTCCTAACATTATTAAAAAAGATGAAGTATTTTAAAGCTAATCTTATAGGATTTATTAAAATGATACATAAGGTAGTAGATAAAACACCAGGTGATGTATAGCATGAGTCAGCAGCCTACAGCCATGTAACCTGTTTGAGTAAATGAAGTTCACTGGACGTCGGTGATGCTCACTCATTTATCTGTCGCTCACTGCTGTCTTCACGCTACGTGGCAGAGCTGGGTATTTGTAGCAAACCCATATGGACTGTGAGGCTGAAAACATTTACTATCTAGGTTTTTGCAGAAGTCGACCTCTGAGCTATAAAACCAGCTCTCTATAAAAAAAACCCCCAGAAACTTAGGATTCTGCCTAATATTTATATCTGATAGACCTAAGACCATTAAAGAAAGTTGAGAAAAAGAAAAGCTAAATTCAGCACTTTGTATTGAATACTTTCACACACGTCTTCCCCAGCGATCTCCCTAAGCTGGGTTCTGAATGTAAAGGTTATTGTTGGCTGCGACTCTGGAATAAGTGTACACTTTCCCTTCATTTCCAACCTGGGTAGAGCCCACTCCTAATAGTACATTCAGCCTGGAGAGGCTCAAGTTTTCCCCTTATGAATTGTTCCTCAGAAAGGGAGCTAGAGTTAAAGTGAGGGGACTCCTTTACAATTTGTCAGTACATCCTATTGCTTTAAGAATTTCAGGCTTTAGATCATGTACAAGTGAAGTCAGTGTACATGCAGTCCTTGGTCCTGTGCATTTTCAGATGAGGAAGTGCAGACTTAATCCCCTGCGTACTGGTAGGAACTGCACTCCGAATTCTTACCGCTGCTGTTTCACTGTTAAGCCTTTTTGTGTTGCTGTTCCCAGTCCTCTGCTGCTGTCTTCTCTGTCTATTAACTAGTAGTAAGTTGTTTATCTTTCAGCTACAGGCTAACTGTGAACATTACTTAGTCTTTTGTCAAGGATTGGTATCACTGAGAACTAGTTGTCAATTACAATAGAAGTTGTCCAGTTTAGTTAATAAACACAAAGTGGCAGCCTTACCAAACAGAAGGAAAAGAAACTGAGAGCAGCTCCCGAGTTACGCAAGCTGGAGGAGGAGAGAAAAGGGACCGTCTGCCGCTATCCCTTATCGAGGGCAAGTGGTATACCAGGGGTGTGTGTGTATGTGTGTAGCCGATTCCTCTTTGTTCTATTTTGTGTGTGTGAGTGGTGTTTTGTCTGTGTGCATGTCTGGGCACCACTTGCTTGCCTGGGGCTGGAGGGACCCCAAGAGGGTACTGGATCATCTGTAACTGGAGTTACAGTCGGTTGTGAGCCACCAGGTAGGTGCTGAGAATTGAACCTGGGTCCTCTGAAAGAACAGCTAGTGGTCTTAGCTGCTGAGCCATCTCTCCAGCTCCTGTTTTTCCTTTTTCCATTAAATGGTTCTTAGTAATCTGTAGTTACTGCTGTACTTCTGTAATGTCTGTCTTTTGTCCCCATTCAGTATATTGTATGTTCTTAAGCTTTATTAATCAAGTTTTCCAGTGTTACTAAAACTATGAAATAAAATATTGGCACCTATTACCAAGTTTTTACTCTAATACCCTTTCTGGAACTTTTTAATTTTCCTTTAAGGAAGCTGAACTGATTTACATTTCTGTCTCATTCTGAGGGCACCTCCCCTCCCCCAGCCTACCTCTCAGGACAATGGCCGGCCAGACCTGGTGTTGTGTTGTGGTGTTGTGTATTGTGTTGTGTTGTCTAACAGCGTGGCCACTGGGCTTCAACAAGTTTGTCACTTACATTTCATGCGTGTGTTCATATGCTCTCATTCTTAGACAGTTTCATTTTTTACCAACTTGTTGATTTCCTGTAGCTTATTAAGAACTTTCAGTGTTTTCCAAAGCTTCCCCTGTATGGCTCCCCATAGGCATTCTCTTCTCCCAGCATTTGGTCTCCTTCAGGTTGATTAGTGACTTTTAAAGTGTGGGGATTTCCTTCTTTTCTCCTTCTTTTAAATGTAGCTTAGTCAGTTTTCTTTCCTTTTTCTTTTTCATGTGTAGCTTAGTCGTTTTACACTGTCTTGTTGCTTCTGCCTTTGGCCTGAAGTCCTCTCAATCTTTATACACCATTCCATACCCTCTCCTATGGTTCAGGGTTTGACTTCCACAATTTAACATTAATCCGTTTGTTGTTCTATGTTGTCAGGGGGGCTCTAAGTGAAAGCAACTTCGCTTCAGATCCACTTGCTAGTTAGTGGTCCTACCACACAGATTCCATAAGCCTCCCTCCATCCCTTCCTTCCCTGCTGGAACTCTACTGTGATCTGATAAGAAGTGATTCCCTTCGCCTCTGGCTTTGTTCCTGGGCTTTTCTCTTCCTGTGCCAGCGCTGCATTAGTGTAGTTATTAGAGCTTCTTAATGTGTTTTAATATTTGGTGTTAGAGTTCAAGTCCGTCCACATGAGTTTTCTTTTTAAATATTTTTGGCCCCTTCTTATTTTTATGCTTCCAGATGAATTTTTAGGAATCATTTCAACAAGCTCCAAAACAAATTCTAAGTGCAAATTTTAAGAACTTTCATTTTTTGTTTCTTTTTATGCCTTTTACTGTATTCTCAGATTTCAGACATGGGTCTTTGCAATGCATTTTACTTTTAAAGTTGACTAATGAAGTAATTTTACATTTAGAAAGTTTATTTGAAACAACCCCTGATAGAAACAGTAAAAACAACCAGACTAATGAGTGGGTTGCTTGCCTAGTGTATGATTAGAGACCAAAAAAACTTCTCAGTTTTCTTTAATATTTGTTTTTCTTGCTTGAGTGTAGAATTGTGCTATGACTGCAGTATGCAAATAGCCAGCCAATTTATCACCTTAATTTTTAATCATGGTAGTGATTTTCTTATTTTTGAATGGCAGAAATGATCAGTTTTAAATGGTCAGTTCAATTTTTAAGAATGGATTTATAATACTGCATTCTGACTAATAGAGTAATATACATCAGTGTCCATTCAGTAGTCCAGAGAGACTGGTATATTCAGTGTATTCATTTGTGAAAATAAGGGACGATGATAGAGTGGTCTTCCTCTGGCCATTTTAATGAAAGTATTTCTACAGTAGATCAGGAGTGTGTGTGAGTGCTGAGCATACGCAGTTAGAATGGCAGGCAGTGTTCACTAGAGTTCAGTGGGCTTTCTGTGGCCAGACTCTAGGTTATTACAGAGGGGTCACATGTGGTCTGTTCCCGTGATAAATTGCACTTGTTTTTTGTTTTAATTTACTGCTTGCATAGTTTTAATTTTTTTCACTCTTTGGTGTTTGCTGATTTGTTGTTGTCCAGACATGAATAGCGTTTCTCTGTTGTCATACCACTGAGAAGGCATAGCAAGGCCTCTGCAGTGACAGGGCGGGCAGCTTGAGAACAGTTATGAAGGGCTGTCATGTTAGTCAGGGAGGTAGGCAGAGAAATCTGACTGGAAGTGTGTTCACCATTGCATAAACTGTCTGGGACTCAGCTGAAGCAGGTGACACCCTTTCCTATAGCAGTGCTCTGCTGCTGCTCGTAGGCCTGGGAGTCAAGGCAGTTGGGTTGATTTAGGGATCTGAAGGGCAGATGTGATTGAAAGTTATTAATTTGACATGTTGGAGGTTCTATCCTACAGGTAAGGTATAAA